ACCTTTTTCCGCCTCAATTTCCAACTCGGGGACTGAGAACCAGCTGTCATCACTAGGCTTTCTGGGATCGTTTGGGTAATTAATCAGCGTGAGCTGTGATAGGTCGATAGTTTCCAAAGGCAACCGAAAGCTGGTGCGTAATCTCCTCGCGGTTAACATAGCCGATCGATCAGACGCTCTATTTTTTAGTTAAAAAAAAGAAGACTCGGAAAAGGGTGCCAGAGCGCAGGTTAATATCCATGCCGCCGCCTCCTACTCCTATGCGAAATGGCGTCAAGACAGTACACCAATACAGGGGCGGATCCAGGATTTTTTGATAGGAGGGATCCCAGGGTTTTCCCGAAAATGTGAAGTAGATTGAAGAAAATTTTTGGAAGTCATTAGACGGCAGTAGTAAAGGCGCAAAGGGGGGTGTTTGTGGGGTCTCTCACAGAAAAAATTGAGATTTTAGGCTCTGAAAAGTGCATTTTGGAGGATTCTGGAGATGGTTTTGCCATGGATAATAGAGAAAGCAAAAACTCGTAAATGTCTGATAGGGGGTCCGAACCCCCCCGACCCTCCCCCTGTATCCGCCACTGCAATAGTTTGAGCCATGGCGCTATAGTGACTTGAATTTTCTAGCATTGACAGTAAATTTCGTACCCCACAAACGCAAAATTCACCAGTTTTAGTTGCCTTGAATTTTGTGAGGGTTTGACGTGAATTATGCAAGACGTTTCTAAAATGCAGTGGTAAACGAAGCGAGGTGACAAAGCGGGTAACAATATTAAAAAATTATCTATGATTCGCTGAAATTTTGGCTTGAAAGTGGGGATTTCGGTTGCTATAGTGACCTGCGGGACAAAGGCCTTGGTCACGGTCGTGGCTCACGAAGGGCATTGGGAACTAGCACTAATTGACGTAAATGGCGGCACTGATTGGTTAATAGCCCAGCCAAATATTATAATTAAAAACACTGTTATTTGAAAAAGTCTAACAAACAACTTAATAGTTATTATCAAGAGAGTCTTTCGCTCAAAATAAAAATGCTGCATAGCATTTAATTTGAAACGTGCATGTCTAACAATAGTCGATTTTTCCGACGCAATTGTTTTTCAAAATTTCGTTTAATGCGCGGGTGACTCAAGAAAATATTGATACTACAAAGGTATTTCCTTCGTTATTCATTGCAGGTTTCGAGATAAACATTCTTTGAAAGAGCACGTAACATGAAAACATCGCACAGCGTCGAAAGAAAACAATTCAGGTTTGACTTAAACAAAAGAACTGCGTCCTCTCTGAGAAATCGATGCAAAAAGAAAAGAGAAAGAGAGATATCTTTGTTGGCTAACAGTGTAAGAAAGTTATACAGAGGGCTAAACATAACAGAAGGATTTGTGGAGTAGAGAGATTACAATAGGCAAATCAAAGGCAAAGTGTAAGTGGAACAATTGTTGACTTAAAACGATCAAAACCTTTGTTCGTGAAAAAGCTCTCAACTCTAACTGTATAGAGATAAGCAATCTGTCAAGTCGCTTCTCTGGCTTTATAAGGTCTTGGTTAAAATCAAATTCTAAAATTCAAGTATATTTTATCTCAGTCTTTCAATGGTGCTCTTATGAACTATTTTAATAATACATTTATTTATTGTCTCTAGTCTGATCTTATTAAACGAAAGACAACCAAAATGAACGGTGTACCGCCTGACGTGCAGTTTGAATCGTATAAAGAGATTTTCTGAAAGAGTTAGCTATTTTCGTCTTGGATATTTCGATGATATGAAAATATACGTGACCTGTATCTAAATGTCTTCTTTCAGCTAAATTGTTGATAGTTTCCAAAGCACGTGCGCTAGCTCACGAATCAGGGCATGCAGTTCATAAAATGATGAAATAGTCCTTTTAGCAATCCTTATCGATATTATAGTTTGATTGCAGCATTATTCACAATTTATATTTCAAATCCGCTTTTCAATGAAGTATGATACTTGATTCCATGCACAATTTGAAGGTATACTTTCTGCAGTCTGTTCGGGCTTTGACTGCATATATTTGCTATCTCTGATTTCTTTAACCCGGGCCAAACGTGGATGATGGCTCTCATGAGAGTTTTCTTCAACTTTCATCGACTGTCATGAAGCGTGGGTCAAACGAGAGAAAACTCTCGACGCCAGACGACTCTCAAGAAAGATTTGAGCAGGTTCAAATTCGATGAGAGCGCACGAGAGTCGAGGAGAGTCGGATGAGAGCGCGTGAGAGTTTCAGGCAAAACGAGAGAGCGTTTGAACTCTCAGCAACTCGCATCCTCGTTTGGCCCAGGCTTTAGAGACAAATTGATATTTCCCTTCGGATATGGATTTGGAATTAATCTATTCTGCAAAATAAAATAAAAAACTTGGAGTTGAATCACTGCAGAATTAACAACGACGCTTCGAGCGATACTTCTAAGTCAGAGCAAACGAAACGGTTAACGATTATCTTTTGAGCTTCGAATCAATAAAAAAGGTAAAAAAAAATGTGCAACTGAGTAGGAAGGAGCCCACTCCTCGGAAGTGAGTGAGCTGCCGTCGGGACCACTTTCTGAATCTGAATCTGCCATCTATAATTATCATATTTTTTTTTTTCAGCGATGTAGACTGTGTATACCCATAATGCACGCGTCGATTTGGTGCTCAGTTGTCATTCTTCTTTTGCTCCTTGCAGTACAGTATGGAGACGGTAAGCTAACCTGATAGATTTGTTGGTTTTCCCGCTGGAACATTTTTTAATCCTATAAATCAATCGTTGTTCTTTCATTAGGTAAATCGGGAGTTCAAGAAATGGATATCCCCGATGGTGAAATGGAGACAGAATCCCAGAGGGTAAATAACTTATTTCGTTATATATTTGTTGTCCGGCCTTTCTACTTTAATTATATGAAGTGAAATAGAGTAAGTGACTGCCGGCGAAAACTGAAAAGAGTTTAACAGAGACCACTTGCGAAGAGATTTCTTATAGCACAATTTATACGTCGCATGTCAGTCGCGTCGAATGTAATTCCGAAATAGCAGGTTGCTTCCATGGTATATTGCAACACAGTCGAATAAGTAATACCAGCGAGATTTTTGCGCGGACTGAAATGCGACATTCATGCGACGTATAAATTTGGTATAAGTCACTTGTCCGCGTTGCCTATGCTGTCAGTTTTCATCTCCCTTGTCTGAGAAACGGCTTGAAATCAAGCCTGCCCTTGTTGCTATGGCACTGTCCATATTTTTAGAAGCTCACAAGCCTTTAGGGTGATGATTTTGATTCCTAGGTGAAGTTTCAGAGACCGTCACATTTTTTATTCTCAATAGGCAGCTTTGATGGTAAAACTATGGTAGTGGTTTGATTGACTTCATTCTTTTCACTTTTTAACAGTCGGAGATTCCTCGACACCACCGCAGTCGTGAAGCGCACAGCCATCATAACAGACGAGCCGAGCGTGGTCGCTATCGCTCCGTCCTAGCGGTGGGCGTTGGTTGCGCGGTGGCCGGCGGCTGGATTTGCTTGGCAACCGTCGTTTATGTCGTGCGCTATATTCGCGCCAAAAGGAATGCGGCAGCACGTAGTCCTTCTACTGATAATTTGCTGTGATTGGTTCAATTTAAAGGAGGAAGAACGTCACAATAATTTAAACATCACAATTGATGGAAACTTTACAAGATGCATCATGCTGTAATGTTAGTAACGCGGTTAAAACAAAAATGGTTTATTTTACGTTGGCTATTGTTCTCTTTGATTATTCTCTACTTCGACTCTAAGCATTTCAGTGATTTCTTTAGTGTAAATAGAGTACAATAGACCATTTTATAGTTCTGTGAAATGTAACCAAGCCTCTGCATGAAAGCGAGGTTAGGGGTGACCGTGAGATGATAGAGATCAGAAACTGGTTTACATAAGAACAGAATAATCTACATTTGAAAAGAAGGAAGGTTTGTATCACAACAAAGTCACCTCCAGCCTCACTTCTGTTCAAAGGCCTGGATTCTAAGCACACAACTGTAAAATGGACTATTACAATGAATAATTGAAGTGATATACTTGTTAAATAAGGGAACTAGCCTAATATGTTCCAGTTGTATAATGCTTTATATACATTTGTCAGACTTAATATTTAGTTCATGTTTATTCCCACGGAAGAGTTATACAAATTATATAACAAGGGAGAATTATTGTGAAGGTAATATTTAGAATTTTAAAAATTAAGGATTACCTAATATATGTAAATGTTAATAATTTTAACAAGGAGATATCTCTAGTGAATCACTAGTGCTAGTGATTGGTACTGATTTATATTTTCTCTAAAGGTGTTGGTTCAAAGACGAATATACGCTTTATTTTAACTCTTCAATATTGGAAGTGAATTGGCTATATAAATGTTAAATGATTGCAAGTCGGTTCCGTTTATAATAGGCGTAGAGTCGTAGAAAGCAAGACGAGGCAGTTCAAATTGATAAGAAGCTGCAGAACATTGTGACGGATAATCTCAAAAAGACGTAATTAGGAACAGACCATTTTATTTTTAAGGGGGGAGGAATGTTTTTAAGCCCGACTGTTTTTCGCAACTTACCGCTTTGCAGAATTTCCTTTCACTACTTTGCAAGATATTTCTCAGTTGCCTCGTTTCGCTGCGCACTGCGCACTGCAAATCCCTGCACTGCATAAGCATTGCAGGGATTTGCCCATCTATAGCCTGTTTCAGGCGTTCGGATAGTGGGGGAGCGACGTAAAAAGACGCGCGAAGCGCGAAGAGCTTGCGACCCAATCCCCTCGCCATTCATTCACTCGCCGCTCTTCGCGCTTCGCGCGTCTTTTCACGTCGCTCCCCCACTATCCGAACGCTTGGAACAGGTTAGCCCAACTCCCCTGAGAAGTAAAATGGTCCGTCCCTATAAGAAGAATCTGTTCACACGTAGACTAGTTGTAGTAGTTAAATAAATATTTAAAGAAAACATTCGATGGTGTTGTTCATTTGACTTTTATAGCAGCAATAAAGTAAGCTTCATAGCTCAGTTGGTAGAGCATCGAACTAGTAACGCGGAGTCATCATGTGTTCAAATCGCGTTGAAGCCTATTGCAATAGCAGTTATTACAGATGTCAGCGGTTTGACATGCAAACGAGGGGAAAGGGTCAATCTGATATTGTTAGCCGTTTGACATGCAAACGAGGCGAAAGGGTCAATCTGGTATTGTTACCGTTTGACATGCAAACGAGGCGAAAGGGTCAATCTGGCATTGTATTGTCCCATTAGCCTCATTTGTAGGCTCGATTACCAGCCACTGTTCGGAAAATGAGCCAGAACGAAGACCGGACTCGAGAGAGCGGCGGAAATCGAGCCTAAGTCGTTTGCATACTTTTTAAAAACAAAAGAATATTTGACTGCGGGCTCAACTGTAATAACTGCTATTGCAAAAATTGCATTCGTAACTGCGAGGATCACTTATTCATCTCAAGAAAGTGAGAGCCGGTTATAACTAGAAGTAACAAAATTTCCGTCAACTTCAATCTATGACACATTGTTGGTACACTCTTGGTTGAATCTTATCTCCCTCCCATTCCCTCCTTTCAATGTTGTTTTAAAATATAAAACGCACTGGACAAAGAGTGCGCGCTTGTTGCCCTATCCAACATTGGACAGGGGAAAGGGAGAAGGTATTCCAACGACTTATGACAGCGATTGATGTTCGTGTTGCATCAGAAGAATTATTCGTTCGCAAGTTGCACGCACACATGATAGGGTCGCTGAGAATCTTTGAACAAGTGACGAACCACTTTATCTTTGAGAGGGAGATGGGGGGAAGGGGAGCTGGCTTTTTTACAGTACGATTTTTCGCAGATAATTTTTTTCTCTAGCCTAGAGTTGAGTTTGCAAGATAATTCTTTGCCTCGTTTCGAGGCACGTTTTTGTTTCCTCTGCAAAAGCATTGGAGGACCTCAAAAATAAAATGTCCCTATTTTGAGGTGCTCTTCAAGCAATTCCATTCGCATTTTTTAATTGTTTTTTAGTGTTTTAACATCACTGTCCAGATAATGTTACACATGAGGTTTTTCTTCGTGCAGCATCGCACAAAATATAATCCACCGAAAGGCTGTTTTATGCAATACCTGAAGGTGTTGCATGTGCTCTGATTTGTTCATTGAGTTATTGTACTGGTAAAGTGATTGAAAATTGTAATCATGCTTCAACAACAGATGGAGGTAAGCTACTTGAGATGTTGTAAGAACACTCGAAAAGCTCAGTTGTGTATCAATCGTCTTAATACAATATCTTCATGTTCTTCAAATATTATTACACATGGTTTATTGAGGCTTGTTGTTTAAGGGGAGTTAAATTATTTTTCAAGTGGAGGGAATGTTGTTTACCGTAAAAGGGCGGCTCTATTTAAAAGCCCCCGGGGGACTTATTAGAGAGGCGGGCTTAATAAAGAGGGGGGATTATTTCAAATCATAAATTTTCGAGAAAATTCACATTAATTTTTTTAACTTTACTATTACACCACTAACTAAAACAGAGCAATAAATGGATTATATATGACCGTCTTACAAATGCAATGACTTTTATACCATAACTCAACGATAGTTCTGGAAACAATACAAAGTGACTGAAACGCCAGAAAATATTACTGAAAAGTCATTTACATCAACCTTACGGAAAAGGGGGGGGGGGCTTATTACACAGTCTGAATTCCATACGGGGGGGGGGGGGCTTATTAGAGAGGAGGCTTAATAAAGAGGGGGGGCTAAATAGAGCTTTTTACGGTATTTGCGCCCGCGTAGTGCCATTCCTACGCCCAGAGTTTTGTGCCAGAAATCAAATCTCCTCGTTCCTCGTCTTATAGAACCCATGGCTTGCCGAAAAAAAAATTTTAAATCTTTCCCGCGCCTCGAACACGTAAGCCTCGCTTTAGTGTTTTATTTTTGACGTCACCAAACAAGATGACAAATGTGCGATAACGGCGAATTTCGACAGAATAAGGTAACTGCTCGCCCGAATGAAGTCAGCTACGCGCAAGCGACTTCTGCTAAACTTTAGGTAAGTCTGTTTACAGAAGTCGTTTGCGCGATTCCAAAGGTGATATTACCGACACGGTTACTGTGACAAGTGATTGTAGAGACATTGTTACTGTCATAACATACCAGTCGTCATTAGCAGGTACCATTCAGCTCTCCGCACCGCGCATGCTCCAGGTTCAATTTATTAGTAATGGTCTCTAGGGAAGGCGAGTGACTTCATCTTTGACTAACAACCTCCAGAAACCGCGGTTTTCTACGGTAAGTCATGTGGATCTATCTTGATTTATTTTATTGTTATCGATTATAAAGCATCGCTTGATATATCATGCAAAATTTAAACTTGGAACTTCGGAAAATTTTGTCAACAAAAGCAAGCGGTTCGCATTCGTTCGCGTAAGACATGGAATTGTTTCGCCCGTCAGTTGCGAGATCGGTACTTTGATTTTTAAACTACCATAGGTTTCCATTTATCTCCTTTTTGGAGAAAAAATTACAAAAGGTAAGACAGAAGAGAAATTGGAAATACACAGCGATTTAAGGTTCGAATATAATTTTGACATTAGCAAGTTCAGTTAAGTTGTTCTTCTGGTGTTACTCTCATGGTCTGTTGTACAACCACAATGCCATGTTTTCTAGTTTGTGAACATTTGTTCGATATTTTTTTTCGATATTTTTAAACAATTTAACTGGAGCTTTAAAGCCATTTTAATTTTTAACAACGTTTTAAAAGCCTCGTGAGATCTGTAGAATGGAATTACATGTGCGTCCGTTCCGGAATATTGATTACAAACATCCAATAGAAAACGTAATAACACAGTCATCTTAATTGACCTTGCTTACGGCAGCGTGAAAGAAGAATTGAGCAGCCGATCCGTTATCTTCCTAGCAATCTTCAGCGAACCGTGCTTACTGATAGGTCAGATTATATCGAAGAAATTCTAAGTAGTTAAAGCTTCGCAATTAACCGCAATTAACCGCTGGAGGAATTGTTTGGTCTGCGCTGTCATCCATCTCGTGAAAAAATAAAAAGGAATGTTTAACTGGGAGGTGGGGACTGCCGGAAGGCGATTTATTTGAATTCACATATAATTTTTAAAAAACCGACTGGACTTTATTCCTTATGTCAGTCTTACGCCCACAATGACTGCAACAAGAAATCTTACAGTCGTACTTTTTGTGAAAGTATGACAAATGAGGTGTAATTTCGGTCACCGAAATTCGAAAACCTTCGCTGGTTCACCTTCGGACAATTAAAAAACCGTGGGAGACTATTCTGTCTGTAAGTTAAGCCATCGAACAAAGTTAACATCGTACAGTATGCGCTGCAAAACTTTCCCTGCTTTTGCTTGCGCTCGGGGTATACTCGACCCCCTGCCCTGGAAAGGATCTGTGATGGGACTGGGGAGACTAAGACTACCGTGGCACAGCAGAACATGGCTGGTCATTTTTTAAGTAGAATGAAAAAACCCAAATAATAATTGTGTACTTTGTGTCAGTTATATGAGTTGTTTTAGAATCATGGTTCTAATGCTTTTAAGTTCCTCATTGTTTTTGTTTTCTTTATCTGAGTAGAAGGTGGGGAAGACGGAGACATGGAAAGTGGTTTAAATCTCGCTTGTTTATTTTTACTTTCACTTCTCAGCATCACAGGTAAGATTATCTGCTACAATTTGTTAGATCAGTAGAGAAGTAGAGGGTTTTCAATTGAGTGTCGTAAGTAATCCGGAATTGCTTTGATTTTGCTTTGCTACGTTCTTTGGCGCCACCAACTCAGCCAATCAGAAACGAAACCCAAACCAATCGCGACTTGGTCGCACGCGTTTTCCCGCTCTTGACACCGGTTACGTGTTATGCTTCTAGTTTGTTGTGATTGGCCATTGTAATTGCTTTTTTTTCATGTTTTTACGACACTCAAATGGAAACCGCTCTAAAACAAAATAATACAGTACGGATTTTATTTGATTACATTAAAAGGATCATCCCTCTCAAATCATGTGACTACCGAAATAACATTTGTTAATAATGTATTCCAGGCTTGCTAAATTCTTGATTTCAGATGATTCTGGCCCTTTCTTTCATGCACTTGTTGCATGTGACTGTATCACAGTCTAGCCAGTTTACAATTCTCCATATCCTTTGTTCTTTTTTTCAGCCCAGTTGCATTCCCTTGACCTATAAAACAAGCACATTAATAAGCAGAATACGCAATCCTGGATTAAAAGTCAATCGATGTTTTAATTTCTCTTGTATACGTGTAAAAGCATATTTTACAGCTAATATTTTGTGGAGGTTTACATTACTGGTCGCAGTCAAAACTGAAGGAAAAACATAAACAGAAAACCTTATCCTGGATTAGCTTAATCGTGCTTTGAACAACCGGGTCCCAAGAGCAGATCAATTGTGAGCTCTATTTCTATATTAAAAATCTCACACGAGTTATCGCTTATTCTTTTAGACGCAAATCTGGAACTGATCTCGTCTGACAAGACACCTTGTAGGAAAAGTGCAGTGAATTACAATGTGACTCTAAGTAAAGGCGCAAAGGCTGGAAAATATTACAAAATGGCAGAAATTCACAAGATGGACGAATGTCTAGGACATTGCTGTGGGTCTAAGAAATGTGACGTTGCTTTCATGGTGAATAAAAACTGTTATCTAGTCAAATGTTTTAATGCGGAATCGTGCGCCCTCAAGCAGTCGGATAACCCCAAGTTTGACACGATGCTTTCAATGGTGTCTAACTCTAAAGCTAAGGCGACTAAAGGTAAGACTTAGAGTCCGCTACTTCCACGTCTATTCTCGACTTGTTTCCTAATAGAGAGATTAAGCATCGCGTTTGTTTTTCCCGCGAAAGACAAAAACCCCACTTTTGCCGTCTGCCGTCTGCCGTTTGCCGTTTCTATGTGAAAGTGAGTAGTTTCGCGTTTATCGTGAACGTGTGAATTATTTTCGATTTTTCTGATGGATTTGTTTAACGATTGGAGGTAAAGTAAAGAGAATCAACTGCAAGCTGACGTTTGCCTTTTGCCGTTGAACGTGATGCTTAATCTCTCTAATG